CACCTGCCGCTCTACACGCTGAAAAGGTTCTGGGAACTTTCAGTCTTTTCTGGTACCATCTGTCAACAACAAGTTTGGGAGGGAGGCTGCAGGAGTCATTTAAGGTGTGTGTGGAGAGGAGTCATCAGGGAGTAATCAGAGTCAAGTGAAGGAGCGAGGGCTTTAAAGGGCCCATTATTACTCCATGTTATGATCTATAATGTTTCCTCATGAAAAACATACTGGAGTTGTGTTTTGTTTCATTCACTCATGTTTAACACACTTTGTAATACAGGAAGTCCTTCATTGTGTTTTTGAACTCCATACACCTTCACCAGAATAATTTTGATAATTTCAGCCTCAAAATTGCCAATTTCTACTGAACTAAATGTTTTAAGACCAATGACATGGTGGCGATCGGAGCCAGAGTGGATGGAGCCCTAACCCTAACCCATGTTCACTTCCTATTTGGAACGTGGCAGCTCTAAGGCAACGTTCAGACTGCAGCCTGAAGTGACCCAAATCCGTTTTTTTCACCCCTATGTGGCCATATCAGCTTGTCAATCCTGGTCCTGTCAGATCTCAGAAGCTCAGCAAGGCCGGGCCTGGTTAGTGCTTGGATGGGAGACACTGGGAAAATCAGGTGCCACAGTGGGGCACCAATCTTAAAAAAACTGTTGTTGTGTCCATAGGCCAGACACTTCACCCTCATTGCTTAGTATGAATGTGGTGTGTGTGTCCAAAGCGCTATATAAAACTGGTGCATTATTATCATTATCATTATCATTATGTGACCTGTATCTGATCTTTTAATGACTGATGTCATTAAAAGACACAGATCCGATTTTTTCAAATGTGACCCAGGCCACTTGGATATGTGCTCCTAAAACCGATAAATATCTGATCTTTTGACATGCGACTTCAGTCTGAATCCCACCTACACGTCATCAACGAGCAGATTGACGAAGGTGTGTTTCCTCCTGCGAGAATAGTATAAGTAGACACTCACAAATGTACACAAACGTTCTTCTCGTCATACGAAAATTGTGTCTGAACTCCATGTCAGTGAAGCAGCAAAACACATCGCAATCCCATCACTCTTGGCTGCGACTCTGCACCCGCACAATCCTTTCTACGGACGTTGCTGCCACTGTCCCACAAAACGCCACGGCCAAAAACCTCGTCCTTCTCCTTCTCTGTCTGCTTCTTGAAACAAATAAGGTGTACATGTTCTGACTCCGGTACGAGAGCAACTTTAAAATCTCCAGGTCCATGTTTAGGCGACTTCCATAAACACTCGCTTTTCCTCGCTCGCTGTGTGTGACGTTGTCGTGTCCTCCGGTGCGCATGCGGGACGCTTTTGGGGCGTTTAAAATTCACACTGGAGATCACATACAAGTCGCGTTTAATTGGAAATGTGAACGACCTCGCAAAAAAATCTGATTTCACAGACAAAATCCAAATTGAGCATTAAGCCCTGCAGTCTGAACGTAGCCTGAGTCACTCCCCCTTCAGAGCACTGTCACAACACAATCCGCGAAACTACTGCACATCGCATCAGGTTTGTGAAGTTGTAGTGTATTGTTTTGCATCATCCTTGCGTAGATTTATGGAAAACTGTCGTGTGGGTGCGTGGGTGACTTGTCTTGCGGGCTGAATTTTGTGAGGAGGATTTTAATCTGTCCTGGAAGAGATCACAAAATTACTCAAACATGCATGGATAACAAATAAAACCTTGTAACAGACGTTTTTGATGAGGAAACGTTATAACATGGTAGAACGCTCCAAAAAGTCGAATTTGCATAAACACAGAGGACTTTCCTGGACTGTACTTTTCATTGGTAATACAAATCTATCATATATTATAGCACTGTCAAAGCTAGTTTTATTAGTATGGCACCTTTAATATCTCAACCATGAATCTTTATGTGTATTCATAGAAGTGCCAGATGTGAACATGGAGATTTATTTCGACATAAAATGCGTGAACAGAAAAGCGCCCCAGCTGCAAACTCTCAGAATGACTAGATAAGCAGGCCCGTGGAGGAGGAAAATGACTCCATTCACACAGCTCGTGGAATCAGGTGTTAGCTCCAGTCTCACACGATCTTCAATACGCTTTTTGCTTCACGTTTAGATGAAAAAAATAAAAAAATATCTGATGAAATACATAAATAGGACTCTGGCATTTCAAACTGTTTTACAAGCTCTTACTCAAAGGTGCACTACGGAACTGAGGTGTTCGTCTGCATGTAAATGTATTGCATTGTCTAGAATGTTCCACAGTACAGATTAAGCCTAAAACAACAAGGGAGAGAAGCAGCTTACAGCACTACAATCCATGTATCCTTCGTTTATTTGTTTTTTCAAAATAAAAGCAAAAATAGAACAGTTTTCTTCATTATTTGTCTCCAAAACCAAAATGATAAAACGGATAACGATTAGTTTTTTTTTTGTTTTCGCTTTTGTTTTTCAAATGGATAATGGAAAAAGCAGATAATGGCCATTTCATGTTTCATCCAATTTTGACCCTTACGGACTGAACCAGGACTAAACCAGGACTAAACCAGGACTGAACGTCAGGACGAGCCCAGAGGTGCGCCCGTGTAGACCGTTGGGTGACCGCAGGGGAAAGGACCGGCGAAGAGCTCCATGCCTCACGGGGCTCTCTCAAGTCCAAGATTAGTCCTGGTTTAGCCCTGGTTTAGACTTGGTTTAGTTCTGGTTCAGCCCTGGTTCAGTTCTGGTTTAGTCCTGGTTCACCCACGATTTCTGACGAACCCCCCACCAGAAAAGTTACACAACCCACCTTTAAGCTAAGAAGCAAAGTCTCCAATTTTGCATTTTTGGTTCTATTTTTGCCTCGCGCCCTGAAGCTCGTGTATTTCATTTAGTGCATTATCATTTAGTGTGCGGAGGGAATACCGCCTACCCTGACACGTGGTTGAATAAAATGCCCCGCAGATGGCAATGGGCCTGTATGTGCAAACGCTGAAATTGAAAGTGCTTTTATGAGCTAAACACAAAAGCTGCTAATGCTACACTTGGAGAAGCTCTCTGGTCTATAAAAACACGAGGAGGTACTTCATGGAGAATAACTTGCAGTCAGAGAGAGGTGTTTGCAGCTCCAGAGTGGGAGTTAATAAAAGGATAATGCGTCTTATACAGTGCTTTCAAGATACGCATAGTTACTTTATAGTTCTGTGCATTCACTTCCAATAGAATAATTTTATTTATGTAAGGTTTTATACAAGACAACAGCAGTCAGGAGAAGGTTGGGAGTGAGCGACTTAGCTGAAGACTTGGTATTTACCGTATTTTACAGGCTATTATGCACTCTGGATTATAAGGCGCACTGTCATTAAATGGTCTATATTCGAACTTTCTTCACAAACAAACCACACCGGACTTAAACGAAACACAACAGCTGGATGGATCAGTGGGACTTTGTTTGGCGCGTTCACGGTGACTCTTTGTTCAGTTGTGGCGTGTAGGGAGGGCGCTGTCTGGGACCGCTGGATTGTCGGCGTGTTCGCAGTGACTCAGTTGTGTCTAGAAGTGGCACATTGCACTCACTTTTTCGGTTCGTTCCTCCGTTCCGTTCCTCGTCGGCGTGGAGTGATGAGTGTGGCTGCGGGTGTTTTTCGTTGCGCGGTCGCTGTCTGCTCCGTGCGTGTTTGCGTGCGCTGCAGGTGGTGCGGCTTTGTAGTTTACTGAAGTTCGTGCTGGGACACCCGAGTGGATTCGTGTATAGAGCGCTCTGGATTGCGGGGTACGTGCTCGTTTTTTTATGGGGTTGGAGGAAAATACGGTATATATAAAAAGATTAAAGAAAGATTAAAGGTTGTATGGAGGATTTTTTTTTGTTTCAAACTGTCAGTGAAAGATTAAAATACCATTACAGAGACACAGCAGCTTTGTAATTATGATGAAAAAAAAAAAAAAAAGAATGAAAATCTATCAACTGTGGACATAGTGAGGCCAGATAAACATCAGCCAATAGAAAACGAGGCTCCCTCATTTTCTATTGGCTGTTAGGTTGTCAATCAAACTCCCTAGTATAACTGACTCGTAGGAGCGCGGGGATTACGTGGTTTACACAGCGGTTCTTAGAGGCTTTTTCGAACAGTTTGTCGTGACGGCGGACGAGAATCCACGACCGGTTCGCCGCAAAAGAAAGTCAGTTTTTGAGGTCGCTGAAAGACGAAGAGAAGGAGAAAAGGAGCAAAGCCAAACTGAGGTGATTCTTGGAGATCTCGTCCAGCGATGGCACGACCGAAGCAGACGAAGGGTCTAAAAACTGATGCGTCGGTCGCTGAATTACTTCTAGACAGGTCACTTCAACAGTAATTCTGAATGCGCACAAGGACTGTCGCTGTATTTCTCTTCCCTTAAAAAAATCCTCTATACAACCTTTAACGTCATGATTCCTAACACCTATTATGCAAAATCGACGTTTCAGTTCGTTGTTCCCTCTTCTCATTTTCACTCTCGAAGTTGTATTTGGAGTGATTCATGCATGTTTGAGTAATCTTTAATCACTTTCACTGCCACTGGCACTTGCTCTGTACTTACTTCGTTCTCCAAGTTCTCCAATATTTTCTTACTTTACTCACTTTACTATAGCGGTATGTTGAACCTGGGGCCAAATATATTATGGGGGATCAAAATACTATCTCACACCGGGAGTCGCTTTGGAGATGTGACTAAAACGTTTGCTTTCGTATGTAGGCGACGGTGCGATTCGTCCATGTTTGGGAGTGGTTCTGTGGAGTGGGGGTGCGAGAAAAGTTTTCTTCTTCCAAGGTTGGGTGTGACAGAAAATAATTGAGAAGCACTGTTTTAGAGGAATATTGTGATTTAAAATGTGCACCACCAACACTCACGCTCACTCCACATTCATAGTAAAGTTTTTGAAGTGTCTTGCCCGACAGAACACTGCACTAACAGTGATTCCCAATAACCAAGACCCATAACTCCACAGTATAACAGCGGTGTACTGTAAGTGTTGTTGTGTTCACACTCACCGTTGTGCTCCACCTCCACGTTGCCCATAACCATGGCAGGAACTCCAAAGGCCGAGGCCAGCACCCACACGCAGATGTTCACCACCTGGATTCACACAACAGACAACAGCTTTTATATTATTATATATGGACACATTCTAGATATAAGGAAATTGACAGAGGAGCAGGGCCTTGAATATAAACACTACTGCTCAGAAGTTTTAGAACATCCTCATTTTTCCAGTTATTTTTTGCAATTCAAGTCGTGCAAGTCCAATGAAGAGCTCGAAATGGTGCAAAGATAAGAACTGAACAGACAGAGGGTAAAAAAAAGATAAAAGATACAAAACACAAGTCCAAGCTCTGCCATAACTACCTCAGGAAAAAAGAACAAGATGGTTTAGCTTGAAAACATGGAGTGTCCAGCACAGTCTCCAGACTTAAACGCCATCGAGCTGGTTTGGGATGAACTGGACAGAACAGTGAAAGTCAAACAACCTACAAGTGCCACACATTTATAAGAACTTCTGTATCTAAGACTTGGGAAGAACTTTCTGAAGAATATTTAATTTCTGTTGTAAAAAGAATGAGCCATGAGTGTGTTCAGCTGTTAAATCTGCCAAAGGTGGACACTTTCATGAACCGAAAGTTTAGAATATGTTTTGGTTTATAAATTGATTCCATGATTTCTTTTTCAATTCGAATTGCTTATTTGTTCTATGCTTTCATTTCAGAGTGCAGTGACACAATAAAATTGAATAATTTTCTGTCAAAAACTGGAAACAGTGTGTTCTAAAACTTTTGACCGGCAGTGTATGTTTAATTATTAAACGTCTGGGATGTAGCATTAACCATGAGCTCATAATATCACATTAATATTGTAGACTGTTACAATATTTCATATTATATAATTATCAAACAAAGATTGAGTTTTCAAACTTTCATAATACATTTTAAGCATGCGACTCCTGCAGATCTGCTTTTGGTGCAGAGTAAAAGGTGTCATTAATTTTCATTGTCTTCTCATTTTCAGGCTTCATCTATTATAAAGGCAGCGTTATAAATAAAAGATGCATTTTGGTGACACTCTTTTGAAGCCTGTTCCTTTGTCTTTTCTCAGCTCTATTTTTTATGCAAGATAGAAAAGTATTGTCAATCGCTAATGAAGGAGCAAGGACAAAAAAATGAATGTATGATGTTACATATTTACTTTGCCAAAAATGTTGTTTTGTTAATTTAGTTGTACAGCTAGCCTGATTCATCAGCCGTCTGACCTTGCAGCATTAGGATTCGTTCGCTCAACGGTAGGCGGGTACTTTTTTTATTTAACCAAATGCTGCTATTTGGTAGTGATGTATGTAATGCGCCAAATACCATAGGAAGAAGGACAATAACGTCTTTCCCCTTGATAAAATTCACCAAACATTCTCTTTATTTCGGCTTTAAATCCTCGATCTCGGGAATCGTTGCTGACACAGAATGTCTGTCTTCGTCTACATCCATCTCGACCGCTTTATTTACTGTTGTGCTGTACCACAAAAAGGACCCAGACGGACGCTCGAGTTTAACGTCATGGCTTCACAGCTCTTCACTGATTGGTCGTTGCGCGATCTACAACTTCTGGGGTTCTTCCTGACCTAGTCGCTGGAGAGAAATGAAATTGAGCAGAGGCACTAGGTACAGCTACACCTAAATGTCTGCTGTGATTGGCTAAAACACTAGGGACAGAGCCAGTATATAAATGGATATAGCTGCCCACTAGTCGCCACATTTCAACTCGGAAGCAAGCATGCAATTTGGCTCCCTCGACTCTTTAATTCACTTTGTATTAAAAATCCTTGCCCTTCTCTCTGAACCTATTGCTGTCAGACTCATCATTTTGGCCTTCAGATGTTTGTTTTAACTTCTTCTGTACAATCCTGGTGTTTTTATTTTGCTATTTCATCCTTAAATCAAGATATAAACATTAAAGGTTGTATAGAGGATTTTTTTAAGGGAAGAGAAATACAGCGACAGTCCTCGTGCGCGTTCAGAATTACTGTTGAAGTTTCCTGCCTAGAGGTAATTCAGCGACCGACGCGTCAGTTTTTAGACCCTTCGTCTGTTTCAGTCGCACCATCGGTGGAAGGAATCTCCAAGAATCACCTCAGTTTGTCTTCGCTCCTTTTCTCCTTCTCTTCTTCTTTCGGCGATCTCAAAAACCGACTTTCTTTTGCGGCGAACCGGTCGTGGATTCTCGTCCGCCGTCGCGACAAACTTTGTGCGAAATGCAAGGAAGCGACAGTTTGAAAAAGCCTCTAAGAACCGCTGCGTAAACCACGTAATCCCCGCGCGCCGACGAGTCAGTTACACTAGGGAGTTTGATTGACAACCCAACAGCGAATAGAAAATGAGGGAGCCTCGTTTTCTATTGGCTGATGTTCATCTGGCCTCAACACGTCCACAGTTGATAGACTTTCATTCTTTTTTTTTTTTGGTCATCATAATTACAAGGCTGCTGCGTCTGTGTAATGGTATTTTAAACTTTCATTGACAATTTGAAACAAAAAAAAAAATCCTCCATACAACCTTTAATATCAGAACAATCAGGTGCCTTCTTTCAGGTTAGCAACACACAAACAAAGCCAGAATTACATAGACCATGGTGCTTTGCTGCTTTACAGTGAAGCAGAAAGTAAGAAATTATCTCCGAAAATCTAACTGTTGCATGTGCAGCTTGCCTCACCTTGGCCTTGTGTGGCGTCCGCATGTCCAGGGCTTTGACGGGGTGACACACGGCCACGTAGCGGTCCATGCTCATCACGGTGAGGGTGAAGGTGCTGGTGAACATGTTGTAATAGTCTATGGACACCACCGCTTTGCACAGAGTGTTCCCGAAAGGCCAGAATCCGAGGAAAACGTCTGTGCCCTGGGAAAAAATGTACAGAAAATATATCAGTGTTGAGAAGTTGAGGTAGATGTAGTTTATAAATGTATGTTATAAGAGCATGGAGGAGGTTTTTGAGGGTATCGCTAATGTTTTTTTGTTTTTTTTTTGTCCTTTGGTGTGACATGGCTTTGTAGCAAATTTCTAAAAATATTTTCAGAAAACAAATGTGTAACTCTTTTCATTTGAGACATTTGAACATGTCCTGCGGTGTGACGTCTCCTGTCACCCTGCAGGACACTCACTACAAATCTGCAATGTCAAAATATTCAAATAAATCATTTAATATGTCTGTAGTGCTTGGTTCAGTAATTATGTAACTGTCCCATCTTAGCTAGAATTGTATTCTTCACATGAAATACTACTGTCACTCCGCAGGACGTCACACTGGCACATCGCACTTCAAAGTTTTTTCAGAAAAGCTGGATTTTATAAAAATAAGAAAATGATCCTGATTAAATTTGTTATGTGTCTTAAACATTTAACCCCAGAGCTCTTCCTGGTGCATAAATGACAGATGAGCTCTTTCTAGTTTTTGTGTTTGTGTTTTTTTAAATCTGTAATTTTTCATGTCACGCCACAGGACGCCCTCTGGATTACAGCATAAAACTGCTCAAATCTTTTTTTTTTTTAGATTTAAAGTAACAGTAAAGGTGTAATATTATTAATTCACTGGCAAGGACCACGCCCAACAATGGAATACGATAAAGATGTTTATTATTATGACGTTGGAAAGATTTGATGGCTGGGGGGGAGACTCAGGATGGGGGTACAATCTCCAATCCAAAATGGTCACCCAGCTGAATCAGAACCCCTCTTCTTAAAGATGACGTCTTCGGATTGAAGGATGGATGAAAAACACGGGTTAGAGGGAGGGGGGAGCTGACACGGACGGTGTTGTCGGGTTCGGCCGTACAAATAGAACTTCTGGGTATCTGAAAGCGTGGTTCAGATAAGCCGGGGTTGGCTGGAGTGGAGATTGAGGCGTTTTCCAGCTCCTGAATCTCAAATAATCATATAATGTACACATGTTTCTCTTATACAAATACTTTTATGATCTGTCTCATACAGTTTTTTTATTTTTTTAAGAAAAGTGCTATAGTCACACCGCAGGACATTTGAGTGTTTTTTTTTTTTTTTTAAATACCATAAAACCATAAAATGAAACACGTCATTCTAAAACTGTAATTTATAGAATCATATTTGTGCACAGTTGGGGTGAATTTTGGAGGAAGAAAAGTGATTATGCCGAAAATGGGCGTCACATCAAGTATCCTAATGCAGCTCATGGATCACCCAGAGTATTCAGCTCCAGTCAAATGAAGCTCATTGGGCTTGCAATTATAGCACCGAATTTAGAACCAAAGATCGCAGGGAGTGGCCCTAGTTACACTCTCAATGAAACCCGTTACTAACACTGGCAGGAGTGTCCTTTGCGAAAGAAGGTGTCTGATTTGTCTGCTCTTAATGTTCTCATCTTGATTCATGACACCACCTTCATCGCCTAATCTTAAATGAATGAATTAATCTTAAAACTGTCTACTAAATCTGCGACTTGCTCTAAATCGTCCCTGCTATTTGCATGGACGTGTGTGAGCGGACGACATTGACATTGAAATTCCTTTTTAGAGATGAGGTAAAAGTGACAACAAACAGAGTAATATTTAAAAACATGTAAACTTGTCATGTGCACTTTAATGAGTTTGATCCTATAACTCCAAATGTGTGATGCTGTGCTCTTGGGCAAGACTCAACACAACAACCTGCTTGTGTCAACATGGTGTGTGAATAATTTGTGGTTCTTGGAGAGGCCATTGGTGCAGATTGGAAGTTGTCAGTCCAGGGCAGCTGTGGCTACAACTGAGGTAACACTAATACACAAATGTAGATAGCAAATTAATCTTGGCCAAGTGACTTTATAGATAAATGCTGATCAAAATAACTCTCACCATTTGATAAAAGTAAAGTTAAAATGTGCATTAGTTCACAGAGGATATCATAAAACTACACATGCCATCATCGTAAGAGGCATTTAATAGATAAAATAAAATAAAACCTCTCACCTGGAAAGGGAGCGTTGCCAGAAACAGGGAATCGGCCAGTGCCAGGTTAAAGATGTAGATGTTAGTAGCTGTCTTCATCTTGGTGTATCTGAGAAAACAAAAAGAAAGAGAATTCAAAGAAGTGAACATCACAAACATGCAGTCTTGGTCGATGAAGTCTGAAAATGTAGTTAGATAAGAACTGACGACAACAAAGACATTCAAATATTGGTAGAAAGTGATATTTTGGTCCAACTTGTTTTCGCCAGCTGCCAAAATTTGATCCATATTGGGTCTTTAACATAAATTCATGGTGATACATACGATTATGGAGATTTTATACATTATACTCTGTGATATATTGCTGTTTTTTAAGAAGCAACTGCATTTCAGCAACTCTATTTCTTTCTTAAACCACTAACTGTGTAAAGTCAATGTGGAATTCATCTGTTTTAATCATCAAAACAGTGAATATGTCAAGAGTATTATATAAACACTGGGAAAACAATATCTAGATAAGTTTAAATGACTTAAATTAAGAACAGTTGACTTCATTTGAGTCGATTTAACTTGACAAATAAAATTATCTACCAATGGAGTAAGTGTGTGTTTCTTAATTCAAGCAACATTCGATTTTGTTTCTTATTTTAAGTGCAAAAAGTTGTTTTTCTTATTTTAAGTGTAACAAGATGTGTTTTCATATTTTAAGTACAAAAAGTCTTGTTCCAATGGCAGGTAATTTTACCTCTCAAGTGAAATTTACTCAAATAATGATGAAACTTTCTTAATTCAAGTCATCTTAACTTGACTAGATTTTGCTTTTTGCAGTGACAAGTTTCTTTTCTACTAAATAAGCAACACAATTGTAGTGCGGTCACAAAAAATTCGCCAAAAGATACTCCTCGATATACATTGATACAGCTGCCCCGGATAGAGACACAAAAAATTAAAGATTCATTAACTGTCTAAATGTTGTTATTAAATCCATATCAGCATTTTATTCTTCTTTGTTGCTGTTTGCCTGGTGGATTCTGTGTATTTTGAGCACAACTAATTCATTCTGTAATGAGTCTTATTTGAACTTATTAACATGCTGTGCGTGGACTGTTCCTCACGGAGGCATTTATCGTGTAGCTAAAGTTTGCGCCCTTGAATATTCATACATTCTTTATTCTCCTCCACGTCCTCCTGTCTGCATTTAGCACAAAATAAAAGATAAAGTCTGCATTTGTTCACGTACTTGTCGAACAACGAGGGACAGAGCAGTAACCTAGAACAACCGGACGGATTCTCACGATATTTGTGAGACGAAAATCCGTTTTGAGGTTTGTGCAGAAGCCAAAGGCGAAGCACCCGAGCATATGACGTACTTCAGCCTATTTTAGCATCAATACAGACGATTTTATTTGTGAAAAACGTGCAGAAGCTAAGTGTTTTGTGCATTTGTGGACAGAGAAATGTTCATCTTGTTCTGCTGTGGTGATGCCTCGACCAGTCAGATGTAAATAATTGTCTTGACATTCAGTGTTTTTCAGTCACTTTCACCAAGCGCCATCCCAGACTGATAATGTGTAGAACTCAAATAAAACAAAGCAGCTCCTCTCCTTTAACTCTTTCCCACTTGGATGCTACTAGGGCTTCCCATAGAGCATAATTGCATAAAAGAAAATGGACACAAGTGATTATAAATGATTTTTACACTCATGAAATTTATTGAAACACAGACATATTTGGTGTGGCTTTTTAGGCGTGCACAAAAAGGCACCTAAACTTGCTCTGTACAGAGATATGGGCTGGGAACCATGTGAAGTGAGACACATTTGTGATATGGTGCGGTTGGAATGGAATAGGTTGGTTAATATGCCAGACACAAGATTAACCAAACATGTATTTAATTGGAGTCTGTTACATAAATCCTTCTAGAGTAGAGAGATTGAGAAAATGTTTGAGATTGCAGATCTCCAGTTTATTTACAGAAATAAGTTAATCTGTAGAGTCAGACAAGTGAGGAACATTTACTTTGATAAGCAGAAACAAAAGTGGCACAATGAAATTTTATGTAAACCAAAATTAAGAACATATATCTTAATTAAAGACTGTTTTGGACCTGAGCCATATGTCACCCTGAACCTGAGTAGAGGTCAGAGGTCATTATGTGCCCAGTTGAGGTGTGGGACTCTGCCTCTGGCCTTGGAGACAGGACGATTCCAATCAGTCCCAGAGGAGGAGCGCACTTGTGCTCTGTGCGACTTAAAGGACATTGAAAATAAAATGCATTTTCTGTTTTACTGTCCTTTGTATCATGACCTGCGCTGTCAGTTGTGTCTAATGTGTCTTATTGTTGGTTTGCTGTGTCTGATGAGGAGAGACTGAAGTATCTGTTTAAATGTAAGGTTTTTAAGTTGGCCCAGTTTGTGTTGAAAGCCTGGGACCTCCGTAAAAGGACACTTTATGTGTGATGTGTGATCTGTCTGCTTATTGTTTTATGTGTCTTATAAGCCTATGCAGGCTAGGCACCAATTAAATGGTGCATGACACTAAATAAGTACAATAAACTAAACTTAACTAAACTAAACAAAACTAAAGGTATCTCTGGAAACCTTAGACTCTGAGCTCTTCATTTCTGGATGTTTAAATGTGATCCAACTCATTTACAGGTTTATAACAGCTCACTGAAAATGAGACTACTTTCTCGTGCGCAGAGCTCCACATAAGTGTTTGTTTCTGTAGCAATTCTGTCATACATTGCATCTTAAAAAAAAAAAAAAGACTGAAATATTTCAAAGGACGTGCCTGAGCAACATCCAGATTTCGGGGCAATTTTGGTCCATAATTGAGTATAAAGCCCCGATAGTTTGGACTCCATACAGATGCGTCATCGGCATTCTCACCTTTTTAATAATAATAATAATAATAATAATAACACATAACACTTGTATAGCGCTTTTCAAGGTACCCAGAGACGCTTTACATGGGAAGACAAATAATGACAAACAAGAGAAAAGACAGTTAATGAAAGGTTTTTTTTTTAAAGAGATGGGTTTTCAGGGCTTTTTTCAACATGGGGAGTGTGGATGAGTCTCTGATGTGTTTGGGCAGGGAGTTCCAGAGGAGAAGGCCCGGTCCCCCCAGGTCTTATGTTTAGTCCTGGCGGGGGGAGACAGGAGGTTGGCATCAGCTGATCGGAGGGCACGGGCGGGGGTGTGGTGGTGGAGGAGCTCAGAGAGGTAGGTGGGGTCCAGGTTGTGGAGGGACTTGTACACGATGGTGAGGAGTTTGAACTGAATGCGCTGGGGGATGGGGAGCCAGTGGAGCTCTCTGAGGACAGGGGTGATGTGTTCACGGGAGGAGGTGATGTGTTCACGGGAGGAGTCTATTGAGGAGTTTGGAGGGTGAACCGTAGAGCAGACTATTGCAGTAGTCGAGGCAGGAGGTGACAAAAGCATGGATGAGGGTTTCAGCAGACTGAGGGGAGAGGGATGGGCAGAGACGACCAATATTTCGGAGGTGATAGAAGGCGGTTTTAGTGATGTCTTTAAAGGTTGTATGGAGGATTTTTTTTTTTTTGTTTCAAATTGTCAATGAAAGTTTAAAACACCATTACAGAGACGCAGCAGCCTTGTAATTATGATGACCAAAAAAGAAAAAAAGAATGAAAATCTATCAACTGTGGACGTAGTGAGGCCAGATAAACATCAGCCAATAGATAACAAAACTACCTCATTATCTATTGGCTGTTAGGTTGTAAATCAAACTCCCTACATTTCTAGTGTAACTCACTCGCCGACGTGCGGTGGATTACGTGGTTTATGTAGCGGTTCTTAGAAGCTTTTTCAAATTGTAGCTTCCTCACAATTCGCACAAGTTTGTTGTGATGGCGGACGAGAATCCACGACCAGTTCGCTGCGAAAGAAAGCCTGTTTTTGAGGTCGCTGAAAGAAGAAGAGAAGGAGAAAAGGAGCAAAGCCAAACTGAGGTGATTCTTGAAGATTCCTGAAGCGACTGAAGCAGACAAAGGGTCTAAAAACTGACACGTCGGTCGCTAAATTACGTCTAGACAGGTCACTTCAACAGTAATTCTGAACGCGCACTGGCTGTAAACAAACGTAATTTCTCGAGTAAGGAGGCGGGAGGAGTGGAGAGGGTGTTTCTACTGAGGGAGCTGTGGAGGAGGAAGGTGGTGTATTTCTTGTTGCTGTATTTTTCTTCCCTTAAAAAATCCTCTGTACCACCTTTAACGTGGTGTTCAAAGGAAAGGGTCTGGTCAAAGAGGTTAAGTTTCACTCTCCTTATCGCTGTTTTCCACTTTATAATCAACTTTCAGCATCACTTTTGAAATCTATAAAAGTCACTTTCTCTAAACGTATCCATAAAATAGGTCCACTCCTCATTGCAATGCCGCAATCTTTCCACTGCTATTCCACCGTTTGTGTTGTCATTCGTTCATTCGGTTTTCAACTTAAAACCAGATTTTTCACAGTGTGGCATTAAATCTTTCTATCTTCATGGAGACCAAACCAGACCAAGTTACAGGTCAGATCCCCGCTCACAGTCAGAATACCTATTTCTCTAGGAATTATTGAGTTATAAAATGTAACAATCTCTATCGACACAAGCTCATGATAGACTCTCCACCAGAAAAGTTACACAAACCTGCAAGAATGTGAATAATTAGGATACTCAGAATGCGTAAGGTACATGAAGAATAAGTCAGGACCAGCGCAAACCTTTTCAAACGAGCTTTTCATATTCACTGTATTTGACCTTAAGGTATTTTGTATTTTATTTTTCGTTTCCAGGTCGGTGTCAGGCGGTTCAGCTCCCAGCCACGTCCTCGCTCTGGAGCTTTGATGTTCTACACTCGACGTTGTTACCAGGCAAACTCACACAACTTATATTCTCTTTCATATTTTTTACAACTGACCCTTTCGCGGCTCTTCCCTCTGAAAATACCGCAGACTATCTTCACAGATCAAACTCATAACGACGGTAATAAAAAAAATAATAATAATAGAAATACTGAATGTAAACTGTGCTACCTTTTATTGTTTTGAAAATGTTATATTCGCCGAAAACAACGTATTAACATGTTTAAGTTTTGCTTTCAGT